CTCAGGCCCTGAGTTCAAGCCTCATGACAGACAAAAGAAAAGAAAGAAAAGAAACTGTAAAATATGAAGATGGAGGTCCAGGCCGGCTAAGGCATAGATGACAGCTCTCAAAAATAACTAAAGCAAAAAGGGTTGAGGATGTAGATCAAGTGGTTGAGTGCTTGCCTGGCAAGCACTAAAACCCTGAGTCCTATAAATAAATAAAGAAATTTATTTATACATTTATTATTATCAATTTATCAATGTTATTTTAAGTGTGCTCAGAGGCATTAAACACATTTGCATTGTTGTGCATTTGTCCTCACCATCTATCTCCGCAACTATAAGCTGAAATGTCCTGGATTTTTGAAAAATTGGTTATTAGCCAGGTGCCAGTGGCCCACACCTGTAATGCTAGCTACTTAGGAAGTTGAGATCTGAGGATCACGGTTCAAAGTCAGCCTGCGCAGGAAAGTCCCTGAGACTCTTACCTCCAATTAATGACCAGAAAACCAGAAGTGGTGCTGTGGCTCAAAGTGGTAGAGTGCTGGCCTTGAGCAGAAAAGCTCAGGGACAGCACTTAGGCCATGAGTTTAAGCCCCAAGACCAACAAAGAAATAAAGTATTATTATTATAAAGGTGATGTTTTGAGGGGTTAGAGTTATGTAAGTTAGGTGAACAGTACCTTTCTTTTTGGAAAATGTTGCCCCTTCCATTGTACTCCTCTGGTTTTTGGATCCTCTTTTTGATCTGACGCTAACCCCTTCTAGTCCTTCACAATGAGTGAAATACAGTTTTTCATGGTACCAGGGCTTGAACTCAGGGGCCTCATACACATTCAGCTTGTTTCCTCCCAGCTGATGCTCTAGCATTTGAGCCATACCTCCAGACTGGTTTTGTGTTGGTTAATTGGAGATAGAATCTTGGAGACTTTTCTACCTGGGCTGGCTTCAAATCTCCATGGACTTCTGGGTCTTAGCCTCCCAAGTTGCTGGGATTACAGGTGCGAGCTATTGGCACCTGACTGTTAAAATACAAATCTTCCAACACTTTTATTTTCATATTCTGATGAGACATGATTTTATCTCTGAAAAAATAAAAATCTTTTTAACCATTCCAAATTCTGGCACCAAGTTAGTAACTAAATGAGTGAAGTGGGAAATGAAGAGCAATGTCACTAATACACTTAGCCTAAAGTCACCAAATGCCCTGATTTGTCCAGGAACCAAGAGCGCTGAGAAAGAATTGTTTCCTTTGGGTGGGTGGGGGGGCACTGTTTGAACTCAGGGCCTTCGGCTCACTCGTGCATTATACTATTTGAGCCATGTCTTCAGCCTGGAGACTTTAAGACAAACGGACCACAGCAATAGCACCTGCCCCATCTAAACAAGACTCCCACACGGTTACATCATACATCGTGTGTGTGTGTGTGTGTGTGTGTGTGTGTGTGTGTGTATGTGTGTGTATGTGTGTGTGTGTGTGTGTGTGTGTGTCCAGCCCCTCCTCAGGAGAAGCCAGGCATGGAGCTATTTTTAATTACTTGTAAATAATGGCAACGACTTATTGCAAACCCACGGGCAGCCCATGTAAACCACACTGCCCTGAGAAAGAGTGGCTGAAACCTTTCCACCCACCCCAACCCCCACGGGAGGACAGCTGCTGTGAAGGCGGGCTCGTCGGTTTCGGGGGTGCCCACCCGTCTGTGAAGCCGCTGAGGCTCTCCCCATCGCCCACGAACTGGACCCCCCCCCCAGGCCCACTGAGCTCCGAGCCCCCCAACAGATCAAACAAACCAGAAGCCACCACTCCTCCAGCGCCCGCGGCCGGGCTCGCCTCCCCAGCCAGACGGCTCAGGTGCGGGGGGCGGGGGGGGGGATCAGAAAGCCGAGGGGGGACCCCGTTGTGCGCACGGATGTCTGGGGGTGAGGATGCCGGAGGCGTGGGGGCTCTAGCACCGGGGGGTGGCGGGGAGGGGGACGTGGAATTGGGGTCTGTGCTGCCAGAGCCCCGCGGGCGCGCGCGGCCCAGTCCGCTCCCCCAGGCCGCCCCGCCGTCCGTCCGTCCGTCTGTCCGTCCGTCCGCGCGCCCCGCCCGGCTCTGCTCACCAGCTGTCCCTGGAGAAGGCGCGCAGGAACCAGATGCCCGGAGCCAAGGAGGAGCGCATCTTGCCCGGCGGGTGCCCGCGGCTGGCGTCCCCGGCGCCGGCGTGTGTGTCGGGGCGGGCGGCCGGCGGCCGGGTTTAAATGCCCCGCCGGGCCGGCCCGCCCCGGCCGGCAGCCCGCAGCCCGAGCCCCCGCCCCCCGCCCCCGCCGCGCCGTGGGCCGGGCCGGAGCCGCGGGCCAGCCCCGGGCCGCGCGGCCAGCGCCGGCGGGCCCTTCTGGGGCGCCCCCGGCTGCCAGGCACATGGTTTATTTTGCGGGAGGGGGAACCGAAAATAGCAGCTCCGGTTGTCAGCAGCCCCGGGCTGCCGTCCCTGCGCGGCTGGCCCGCGGTGCCCCCTGGCCGGCCGGGCCGGGCCGCCCGGGCTCGCACCGAGGCCCCGTCTCACCATCTCAGCGAGGGCGCCCTCGGGGAGCCCCTCTCTCCAGGCTTCGGGCCTGCCCCCCTCGAGGTCTCCGGGATCGCTTGCTGAGCCGGCAGGGAGCCCCCCACACCACCCACCCCTCTCCCCCGCCGCGGGCTCCCCTGCTCTGGCTTTCTGGAGGGAGAAAGCCAAGCAGCCCCGAGCTGCTACGGGGCAGGGACTAATGTGCTCATGGAAGTGACTGGCTCTGGCGTGAACATTTCAAGGCATTTTCTACCTATAAAAAGCAGTTATGGGGCGGGGGGTGGGGGTGTAGCTCAATGGTAGAGTATTTGCTTCATGTATTAGGCCCCAGGTTGAGGAAAACAAAGTTTTGTGAGAGCCTTGTGAACTCCAGAGGGTGGCAAGGGAATGTGCCCATGAAAAGTAAACTTAACAGAATATAAAATGGGAATGTGTCAGCCCTAACTCCTAGGAGTGTCCAGGTCTGCAAGCAAGATCGGGGAAGTGAATCAACAGCCCCGCCAAGCAAGGGAGGACCCAGAATAATGGGCTGGGCTGGCACCAGCCCTGGCATCAAGCAAAAAGAGGGTAGACAGACTTGTAAAACCCTAGGTCAATGCTAGCCCTCAAGGGCACAGATCTACTGCCAGAAATGAAGAGGGCACAAAGCCAAGGACAGCGGTAATGGAAGAGAGAAAGAAAAAAGGCAACAGACACAAATAGCAGGCCATGTAAGGGGCTGAAATGCCTGGAGAAGAGTTAACACAGCAGCTCAGCCAGATCCTAGGAGTACAACCATTTAAGTCTTTCAAGTCAGTGAGGTATTATTCAGGGTAGATGACTTGTGTGCCCGCGGCAATCCCAGGAGATACTTGCTGATCCAGAATGTATGATGGACACCTCTGGGGTTGGTAGCTCCAGGTTAACCCCCCTGCCCCCACTTATTAAAGGATTCTAGAGTGAGCTGGCATCCCAGCTCAACCATCAGGCTGGAGTACAAATGAACCAAAAGTTGGCACTGGTGGCTCATGCCTGTAATCCTAGCTACTCAGAAGGCTGAGAACCAGGGTTCAAAGCCAACTGCAAGCAGAAAAGTCTGACTCATCTCTAACCAGCAAAAAGCCAGTTCATTATTATTTTTGTCTGTTGTGGGGCTTGAACTCAGGGCCTGGGGGTTCTCCCTGAGCCTCTTTATGTTCAAAGCTAGAGCTCTACCACTTAAGCCACAGCACCATTTCCAGCTTTTGAGTGGCTAATTGGAGATAAGAATCATGTGTGGAATTTTTCTGCCCAGGCTGGCTTTGAACTGTGATCCTGAGATCTCACTCTTTCAAGTAACTAGTTACAGGCGTGAATCACCGGCATCTAACTCATCCTATCTTTTAAGGCTGTGTGTATGCATGTGTGCGTGCGTGCGCATGCGCGCACAAGCGTGCTCCTGTGCACATGCTAGTCCTGAGCTTGAACTCAGGGCCTGGGCACTGTCCCTGAGTTTTCTTGCTTAAGACTAGTGTTCTACCACTTGAGCCACAGCTTCACTTCCACCTTTTTGGTGGCTAATTGGAGATAACAGTTTCATAGGCTTTTCTATCTGGGCTAAGGGCTTCCAACCACCATCCCCAGATCTCAGCCTCCTGAGTAGCTGGGATTACAGGCACGTGCCACCAGTGCCCAGCTCATATTAGGCCTTTTGATACCAAAAAGAACATGTGCTTGGAGTCAGCCATTTCTGTCTCACATACTCGCTTACTTCTATGAACTCAGTTCCCATTTCTTTCATACAGATATCAACCCTACAAGTTGGCTGTTAAGAATTAAAAATTATGTATATAATATGTGTAATAGTGCCTGGCCATATTATGTACGTTTGATAAGTAAGGAATCATTAAGTGTGCATGAGCTTACATATTATATTAGGGTTAGCTATGACTACACTATAAGAAAACCCAATGGCCATAATAAATGAAAACAGAATATAGGGTTCAAAAGATCAGAGTCCTTAAAAGAAGTTAATGAGTTTAATAGGTTTGACCTGCAAAATCTTTTTTCTTTCTTTCTTTTTTGCCAGTCCTGGGGCTTGAACTAGGGGCCTAGGCACTGTCCTTGAGCCTCTCTGTGCTCAAGACTAGCACTCTACCACTTGAGCCACAACGCCACTTCTGGCTTTTTCTGTGTATGTGGTACTGGGGAATCGAATCCAGGCAGGGCTTCATGCACTCCAGACAAGCACTATACCACTAAGCCACATTCCCAGCTCTGTAAAATCTTTTTTTTTTTTTGTCGGCCATGGGGCTTGAACTCTGGGCCTGGGTGCGGTCCCTTAGCTCTTCAGCTCAAGGCTAGCGCTCTACCACTCGAACTACAGCGCAACTTCTGGTTTTCTGTGGTTTTATTGGAGTTAAGAGTTTCATGGACTTTCCTGCCTGGGCTGGCTTTGAACCGGGATCCTCAGATCTCAACCTCCTGAGTAGCTAGGATTACAGGCGTGAGCCACCGGCTCCTGGCTTCTGTAAAATCTTAAATAGCATGTGTTTATATACATCGTAACTCATTGATGATTGTAAACATGTGCTGAACATAAAAGAAGCCATTGTCTTAAATGCCAGATGCTGAAATCTCTTAAGAGTTCCTGTTAAATTCCTCCCAACCAACACAGTCAGCAGATAAGCAAGGTGACAATGTATCCAAAAGGATTTTGTTTCTTGATGAATGATCTTAGCTTGCTCGGCAACCTTGATAGAGTTAGCCAAAAATAGAGGGTCAGCTTACTGAAGATGACAATAATGATTAATAATGGCCTGAAGAAGAGGCTTTAGAAATCTCATAAGCCAACCACAAGGCAACTTTGTTTTCTAGATCATCGTAGGATGCCAGTGATAGAAGAATGTACATAAGAGACAACCTAAAAGCAAATAGTCTTTACTGAATGGAAGAATAGGGACAGGGAAATGTTTGTTACAATTTTCCAATGTTTCTTTGTTTAGAAGAGAGATAACAAGGACTATATGGCAGTAAGAAAAGTGAAGGAGCCTCAGACAGCTTATCCTCACAAGCTGGGGATCATTTTTGGTGGCTCTAGTCCTTGAATCATTTACTCATTTAACGAACATTTGTTGATTGTCAGCTATGTGCTAAGGATGATGCATGGATGAATAAGATAAGCATAACTCTACATTCAAAGATTAAGCCAGGAGCTAGTGGCTCATACCTGTAATCCTAGCTACTTGGGAGACTCAGATCTGAGGATCAAGGTTTGAAGCCAGTCTGGGCTCACAAATTGGAGAGATTCTTATCTCCAATTAGCCAACGAAAAGCCAGAATTAAGTGGCAGAGCACCAGCCTTGAGTGACTAAAGCTAAGGGAGAACACTCTGGTTCTGAATTCAAGCCCTAATAATAGCACAATTGTTTACTTATTTATTTATTCATGGCTGTGGGGCTTCAACTCAGGGCCTGGGTGCTGTCCTTGAGCTCTTTTGCTCAAGGCTAGTGCTCTACTACTTTGAGCCACATCTCCACTTCCAGTTTTCTGGTGGTTAATTGGAGCTAAGAGTCTCACAGGGACTTTTCTGCCTGGGCTAGGTTGGAACTGCGATCTTTAGGTTCTCAGCCTCCTGTGTAGCTAGGATGACAGGCGTGAGCCACTGGTGCCCAGCTTTTTTTTTTTTTTTTAATTACCTAACACTTCCTCTGCACTTCTGGATAAGGAGATAGCACACATCCCATTGTTCAGATAAGGAAATGTAACTTGCCGAGGAAAACAGACATGTCTGAGTCACACAGACAATAGTGGTGCAAAGATATCAGACTCCTCCTTAGCAATGGGGTCAGCTTGTCACTGGGACCCATTCACCTGCAGACCTGTGGACATGCCTTTCTGCGCTACACTAGCACATTCTTGAATCTACAGATCCGAATACATTCTTAGTGTCATGTTGTTAAGCAAAAGGAGAACAGGTTGAGCACATCAACACTGGACATTAGGTTTAGCAATCAAAAGCATAGGACTTAAAACCTAGGAGGCTCCACATAAACAAGGGTCTGGAGGTCTCCAAGGAAAGACATTTACTAGCAAGGTTAAAGGTCTGGGTATACAAAGCAGCCCTTCAGAAAAAGGGCTGACACTATTCCTGCAGCCCCTTGATGTCTACAGCCATAGTCAGACTCCAGCTCTGGACACACTCTGACCATTTTTTAATTCCCTCTGGTCCAGCAATACCATCTAAATTCTCTAAAACTGAGTGGAGCTGTAGTTCCAAGTGGTAGAGTGCTAACTTTGAGCAAAAAAAGCTAAGGACAGCACCTAGGCCCTAAGTTTAAGCCCCATGACCCAATGAACCTGCTAGGTGTTGGTAGCTTACATCAAAGAGGTTGAGCTCTGAGGATCACAGTTTGAAGCCAGCCCAGGCAGAAAAGTCTGTGAGACTCTTATTTCCAATAAATTTCTCAGGAAAAGCCAGAAGTGGCACTGTGGCTTAAGTGGTAGAGTGCAGGTCTTAAGCAAAAGTTGCCCTGAGACAGAGCCCATCCCTAAGTTCCAGGACCTGCTTCCCCCCCCCTTCCAACTCCCTCCCCACCAAAAACAATTCTCTAAAACCAATCTGAGAGCTTTGTCTTCCTACTTTATCACTGGCATTCTTGGCTGTAAAATATATACAGGACAAGCTGCAGGACTTAGAAATTAAGTCCAGTGTTGCAACTGAACTCAGGGCTTGGGTGCCGTCTCTGAGATGTTTTGCTCAAGGCTAACGGTCTACCACTTAAGCCATCGTTCCACTGCTGGCTTTATGGTGGTTAATTGCAGGTACACTTTGCTGCCCAGGCTGGCTTTTAACTGCAATCCTCAGATCTCAGCCTCCTGAGTAACTATGATTACAGGCCACTGGTGTGTTCCCTTCTTTAAATTTCATCTCAATGTTTACAATATGTCAAAGTATGCCCATTTTCCCCTATTTTATGAGCACTTTTTACTAAATCCTTTCACTTTCCTCCCTAGAATTGGAACAGGTTCTTTCCAGTTAATAATTGAGCTTTAGCCAGAGAAGTAGACAGGCTCATCTCTAGAAAAATTAGAAAACACATCAGTGTCTTTCAAGTTTTTTTTTTTTTTTTGGTTGGTCGTGGGGCTTGAACTCTGGGCCTGGGTGCTGTTCCTGAGCTTTTTAGCTCAAGGCTAGCTCTACCACTTGAGCCACTATGCCATTTCCAGCTTTCTAGTGGTTAATTGGAGATAAGAGTTTCTTGGACTTTTCTGCCTGGGCTGGTTCTGAACCGCAGTCCTCAGATCTCAGCCTCCTGAGTAGCTAGGATTACAGGTGTGAGCCATCAGTGCCCGGCTTTTCAAGTTCTTACCATGTCTTGTTAAGTCCTTGTCTCTTGCAGAGTGAGATTTAAGGCCCAGATACACCCCAAAATTTAAAAACCTAATTGTGTTTAAAACAAATGAACTATGAACTAACATATAAGTCCAGTCAATTAGTGAACCAAATTAGTGAACCAAAACTTCCCACAAACCAACACTTTTGCTGCATCTATAGAAATAACCAGATTTGATCTATTGAAAATAGTCTTACCTTTGTTATCAAGCTTTTCTTTGATACTTTTTTAAAATCAAAACTTGGGGGGAGCAGTAGAAAAGTTTTATATTTTGATAGAAAATCATGTCTTCCCTGGAGGAAACTCATCCAAAGTAATCTCATTTTAAAACTATTTTACAAATCTTTATATTGCAGAAAACTGGAAAAGGGTCATTTGCCTCCACTTGGGCATTTCATTCAGCATTCCTTTATCTACATTTCTATATTTTCTTAAAATCAGTTATAATATCTACTTACTTCATGAAGTCTTTAGCGTTGATCATTTTTGACTATGAGTCATAACTATCTTTTTCTGAATTATCTCTTAGCAATTATAGGCAATTATGTAAGATAGAAACCTATGTGCTAAACAGTTATAGGTGGAATACTACAGTTGGACAGGTCATTGAGAAAACAAGTAAGTTTCCATACAGCTGGAGGTGGTAGTATTTTGTCTTAAGAGTGATTAGGGCTTTCAAGCTAATTCAAAGGACATTTCAGGCAAGCAGAAGGCCAGTTAATTCTAAGGGACACTCCTGCCAACTAACATAAATGCCAGCATTCAGTTCCTGTCCTAAGGAAAAGCCGTTAACCCCATGAGACTGAAGTATGGTCAGTACCCAACTCGGTACTGATCTCAGTGAACCTCCCTATAAGTCATCTTACCCGGCAAAGCCCAGGCCAACTATGTGAAACATAGGCATGAGGCATACCAGATGAGGGGGATGAGTGGGTCATCAGTTCAAGGCAACAAGTCCTGAAAGGACTCAATGGTCAAGAGAAAAAGGGGGTAGAGCAGGGGCTTCAGACAGTAGAAAACAGAAAACACATATTTACTGACCATGTTCCTTGATCAACAGCTTTTCCAGGCTGAGCCACCATATGTAAATCTGTTAGGCTAATAACAAATATCACTAAGTCTTCAAAGACCAGGACTAGCGTGAACTGCAGATTCTTATCGTGTTGCTTCAAGCTTCAATCCTGTATTACTTCTCTGGATCCATGGTTAATCTCAGGTCTCCTCTTTCCCTGTGATCCCCCTCCTAGACTTACTTGTTCTAGTCTCCTTTATTTGTTGCTAACCGAAGTTCCTTACTTTAAGAACAAGGGGTTAGAGCTACATTGACAAAGCAACCTGATCTCAAGCTCTTGTACAGGATATAAGTTTTATGTATAGGATATAAGTCCTAATGAGCTTTATGTATAGAATATAAGTCTTAAAAGAATGTATTTGTTACCTTTATGGTAAATGCTTTGAACTCCTTGAAGAAAACCCTAGGCCCACCTGGGAACAGAAGGCAGGCATGTTTTCCTTTGAACTATAAGTCAATCCTAGCAATATGATAAGGTGGGTGGATCTCAGTTAGATGAGGGTACCTAGAGCTTTGAACCAGGAAGGATTTAAACACAAACATCAGTTAACCCTCTGGTTGAGCAAGAGAGAGGGCCTGACTTACAATTTAAAGACACACCCATCTATTTGGCAAATCTCTTCCCTTAATCTTCAAAAGTCTTATACAAGACTTTTAGTGTAAGATGGAGCAATGAATAAAATCAAATAACCAAATGCAAATCAAATGCTATGCCATTGTAACCTAGGGACATAAAAACTTCTCTTAAGCTGCAATATAAAAGACCAAACGGGATGTGCCTATGTTTCTATCCTCAATTAGCTCATTCCCAGCGAAAATATCTGAACCAGCAAGGATTCAACGTACAACCAACCAATGTAGGAGAAAAAAAGCTTTGCTTCTTGAATGTGAAAGAATAATATCTACAATGACTGACAGGAAACATACAATGGTAGTGATAATAAGGATAATGTAGGTAGTAGTTCAGATATTAGCATTTAATATTTACTATATTTACCATGTGCCAGACCCTTGGCTAGCTATTATACATGCACCGTCTCACAGACTTCTCCTAACT